TTCATAACTATAAATAACTACAACAGTACTGACGTACATCGTCATCAACATCTCAATAAAATTGCGAAACTACACTCCACCGTTTTGACGGAACTGTTCCACATATCTTTTTTAGTTTGCATCTTAGTTTACCCGACTCGTTTAAATTAATTTCAGTTCCTGTCCTTAAACAGATCTTATTAAGCAGAGAAAATTGATATACTGGTATATGCATGTGATATCTGATTTTCTACCTTCCACCTATTCTTTCTGCTCCTCTATATAATGAAAGGATAAAGGTTCAATAACGCTTCGGGTGCTTCTACCAACTTAGTAAATCAGTTGCGAAGCAGGATTGAGCAAATTTCAAATCCGCAAAATACAACTCAGGAGCTACAAAAGCACTGCACCGAAGAAGATATTGGCATAGTTCATCGTAATCCACTGCTAATACTTTGTGTGCGTATGCACGCAACTCACCGTACTCGAAGACTCACCACGCTACCAGTGCCGTGTGATGTTTTACACTACTCTCTTCCACTTTGGGACTTGTCCATAGTGAACGGTAATGGACCGCTGTTTCGTGCTAATTTGCAATGGTCGATTCTGGTAATAGATGGTACTTTGTGCTGTCTTAATTCGGTAGAACTTATACTCTGAATCGAGTTGCTGAGCTTTCGTTCATTAACCGCCGAGAGCAAGCCTACGCCACACTGTGGAGTTGCCAAATAGGACGAAACAGCTCATAGTTGGCCGTATGTTACTAGTTTGTTCAATGGCGAGTAGACCGTATCCTCTATAGGACCACAATCGGTGGCATCTAGCGGTCACAGCGTTTTTGCTTTCACATTGGTAAGTTCGGGTAATAGATGACACTTTCTTTTTTTTTATACTCCAACTACCACGAAGGCCTAAGGCCTAAACACCCATTGGGTACCGTGGGGCTATAGGGGGATACAGGGGCAAGGGGGGACGCCACACGGACTCTGGCGAGAGAACACGTGTGCATGCAAAATGCACACATTCTGGCTCCGCCTACGAGACCCGCCGGGTGGTACCTCAACGTTCGACAGTCAGAGACCGTCTACCACCTACGGACAATCACAACATCCATAGCTAAGAAAACATTTTCTCCTGGGACGGGACTCGAACCCGCACAGCGCACGGCGACTGATCAGGAGACCGAAGAGTCTACTATTGCGGCCACCTGCTGTCTTAATTCGATAAATAGCATATCCAGGTATGGATGGAATATTACTCATAAACAAATACAGTTTGGGAAAATCTATTTATGGCATGTTATACATGACATTTGAGGGCATATTTCTAAAATATTGGCAATTATACAGGGTGTCCCAATTTTGACCTACATATCAAAGATGTGATTTTTTAAAAGAAGAACATTGATATAACATACTATGGAGTTTTGGTAATTAGCTGCTGAGATATAAGGTGTTTTGTCTATTTCCTTGCATCTCGCATGTATAAGCAACGGTACCCTAATATGCGACATCTATGTCCGGAAACATTTTCCACACCATGTATAATGGCCAATATTTTAGAAATGTGCCCTCAAATGTTATGTATAACATCCCATAAATAGATTTTCACACATGGATGCGTCACCCTGTATGTATTTCATTCTAGAAGCGGGACATAAAAGTGCAGTCCGGTTAACCTGACATTGAGAACCTCGCGTTCGAAGTTTGTACCTCTGAATTTCGTTTACCACATGGGCAGAAACGATTGTTTCATGTTCATACTTCGTAGTTAATAATGACACTTGGATGAAGATGTCAGCGTCAGCTTAATTAAGCAGACTCGGCCAATTAAAAATAACTGTTTAAATGCTAAGCAAAATAGCCGCATTGTACAACATAATCAGCTGATTGAGTTGTACTCGTACCTGCAAGAATTATGGCTAACTTGCTTTAGAGGTTAAATATTACCCAACCAATATTCTAAAGCACTAAAGTGGCAACTGTTACATTACTAAACGCATAAACATTGTATTTACATGCTACTACTCGAAAAAGTGGTAACTATAGTAGCTATTCCTATTGTTATACTAAAGCAAAAAATTGACACCTGTTTCATTTCTAAGGCTCATATTAAGAGTCGACCCTTAAGGACCGGGTGCTGATTGAGGGTTGTCAACCCTTGGAGTTCCAGATTTATCAATTTAAAATTTTTGACATTTTTTGAAGATTCTGAAAAATCTTAAAATTTTGATTATGAAAATTCTTAAAACCATGAACATTTTGAAAAATTTGTATATTTTGAAAGTAATTTTCATAAATTTTGAAAAAACTGAAAAATTTAGAATACCTCGTAAGTTTTGAAAATCCTGTTCATTTTGATGATATCAAAAATTGCAAATCTTAAAAATTCAAAATATTAAGAATTCAAATTTTGATATCCCAAATTTTGAAGGATCCAAGAAGAAGCCACTGTATTTTCTCAATTGTTCATATTTCAAAGACAACAGAGATGAAATGTATAGTGTAATTTTTGAAAGATTGTTTTTTCATTTATCAGGCGATTGCTACGCCCCCCAGCGTTTATGAGAAAGCGTAAATACTCTTTCAAACGAAATCAATGTCATCAAAATCGATGCAGCCAAACCAGGAGTTATTTGACTTTTTGTAAATCTTTGCGAAATAATGGCATTTGAATTTTTAGGAAGCTGAAAATAATTTCTAACAATTTGTCTTTATCGTAATATTTTTTAAAACAATGCAGTCGGCGTCTTTTATTATGGACCCACCCGGTACACGATGCAAGGCAAAAAAAGCCGTATTTACAGCTCCATACTTCAGTAAAACATATTAACATTTTTGCAGATGCGTAAAACAAAAATGTTCGATTAGAGAATATGTATAAACCAAAAGAATCGAAACTCTTCCGCTGCTTTTCGTTACACAAAATCGAATGAGACCACGCACTGGAGCCATGCTGATAGAAGCGACATTCCACGTGCGACATGTGTAAAAGACGAAATGTCGCAGCGGTTGCCTTCGCTCCGGTTGGTCAATACAATACAAAGTCATCAATGGTTTTCTTTTCAGATACTCTCAACTATTTCAACCTCTCTTCCTGCTCGATGACATTTTCAATGGTATTTGATCCAGGACCAAATTTTGGGCATTCGCATGAAATTGCTGAAGGACGCATCAAGGTGCGTATTATACTATCTACATAAAAATAAATAAATGACTTTATTCCTGCTGAAAATTAAACGGTTGTCGACAAAAACGTGGTTATTTTTTTATCATAATTAGGTCGAATATCAATAACCACCAATTCTCAGAGAAGCTTTCAATTTTCGTCATTTTCCTTGGATCGTTAACAATTTTTAAAATGACCATATTCCCGTGATTATTTTAAGAAAATATATACAGGATGTTTCCATGAGTATTACGCAACTGAAGTGGCACAGGGAGCTTGACTTGTGCTAGGTGCTAGGAGTGACTCGACCTTCATTGGCGTGGTAGCACAAAGTCAGTGTTGCCATTTATCGTTCTTATAATACTTGTGTAAAACCTCTCGGGAACATAATGTACGCATACAAGGCTAAAAATCGCTTTGAAATAGAGAAATCTAAAAATACTTTTTGAAGTCTTGTAAAGCAAGGTTTAAGCTTCAATTTAATACTTGCGACCTAAAAATTGTAACTTGAAACAAAGCTTTTAAGCATTTTTTGGGCTTTTCACAAATTATAGCTCGAAAATGGTCAGCCCTAGAGAAAAGTTAATGAAAGCGTTTTCTATTCGGAAATATCTAAGAAAAATGAATAAAACTTGTCCGGACAAAAAATTTTAACTTTCTTAAAAACATTGTTTAAACAGATTTGATCTAGAATATCGTGCGGGTATATTCAATGCTTAAAGACCTAAATTATAATTTTTGAGGTCGCCAAGTATCTAAATTAAGGCTAGAACCTTGCTCTACAAGAGTAGAAGAATATTTTGAGACTAGTTTATTTTAAAGCCAACCTTGTTTTTCAGGCCGAAATTGGTGGATTTTCGGTTTTTGCAGACTATTCGCAACAATTTTTGGATATAAGCTACATAAAAAGTAAGATGAAATTGCTTATTTCGTTAGTTTTTTTTCTGTTTGCAAAGTAGATATATTAGTTCTGTTTCATGTAAAAAACGGTCTCACCTAGTGGGGAATATGGATCTAGTCCTTATTTACACATTCTACCAGATACACTTTTCTACCACTGGACCAATCAGTGTAGTTATGACCTCTTTAATATATCTCTTTGGAGTTTTATTTTTTTATTCTGCCTTTTACATCCCACACCTACTGGCGAGGAAGTATTTTAATCGCGAAAAGGTTCTAAAATGAAATATTATATTTTCTAGATGTTATATGACATGTAAATCACGAAAAACCATGTCACTCATTTCCATCGGTCTGTTGGTCTGACTGTTCGCTAATCATTGACCCATGTATAAATTTTCATTGATGGAGGAATGCTTCCGATATGCGTCACTGCATCCGCTTTCCGGGATCAGCGGCGAGCGTGCCAGTCTTGGTAAGTGTTCTGACCTTACTGCCGCGCTGCCGCGACTGACTGGTTGTGGCGTGAGGTATAGGGGAAGACTACGTTGCCAGATGGACCACCGGTAGGGCAGAGAGAAGAAATATCTATGGACTAATTGTGTTAGCCTGTCTGACTGTCTTGATCTGTTTAATTTTGCTGTTATACATATTCGTAACGAAGTTTTTTCTAGAGTGACTAACTTGTGTTGAACACAATCCTCTATGAACTGATGACGGCGTTGCGTGGGACGCGCAGAGTCAACCTACAAGAATCCATTTTTTATTCCAACGTCAAAGTGCTTAGCTGCCTGTAGGTATCTATTACCTACAGAACAAAGCTCCATCTATGTTCACATGTAACAAACAACCCGTCTAAATTTATCTGATTTACTAGAAACACTTTCCCAGCTTAAAAAAGCCACTATCTGTTATTTCATCCTTCAATTTGTTTACAGTGTGATAGAATATACCCTTGATCGATGCAGACAAACAAGTCCCCTATCTCTCGTCCGTCGCATAGCAAAAAAAATGCACCAGCACATCACTCAATTTGCTAAAATGTGTTTATATTGTCTGACATTTGCAGTGCAGTTTGTGTGCAGTAATTGTGGCTGTAACCTCGTCATCGTAACTCTCTATAATTGTCCCTCTTCCAGTAAGTGCATGCTCATAAATATACGGCTTTTATTTAGATTATAATTTGATTCGCACATAAAAAATCTTATCAAATAGTAGATAGTATTTTCCAAGCACGATAGGAAAAATCATGTTTATTTAGTAAGCATAAAAAATGAACTTTGGATAATTATATGTATTTGTATTTATAACTTTTTAGGATTCGGGAACTGCTAGATAAAAAAAAATATAATGCTTCACGATAAAAATATTCCATTAAATGTTTCAGCCTTCTAATCAAAGTCTACCGAGTGTCATATCTGAAAGATCCGTATATGATAACACAACAAGCTGTTAAAACTATAGTTTTTAGTCCTACGCATCATTGCACGTTAACTACCGAATATGTCCACTTTTTGAACGGGTCAAGTTAGCAAGCTGAAATTCTAAGTGACTAAATTGAATACTAGTCTTTAGCGTAAAACTAACAGTTGAAAATATCAAAATGGCGGATGGGCGTCATCATGGAAAATGTTTTGAATGGAATGGAATCGTATGATACCTCATTCATAGCCCTGTACTCTAAGTTCACTATCTTTAAAAATGCCTAACTGGCAGACTGTCAAAGTTGAGCGTTCTTATATACTGACTTTCATAACTCAATAACTAATCATCAAAACTACTATAGTATGTTATATCAATCTTCTTTTGGAAGAATATATTCGAACGTGCAATAAAGTGCGGGACATTGTGTTTAGAAAATGACATACAGAGAAAATGAAATGCTTGGCGATTGAAAATGAAAGGGGGGGGATGCGTTTGCTACTTTTGCTGCTCTTGTCATTCCGCCACTGACTCTGAGCTTAACAGATAAAAAACACTTCCTTAATTAGAGTTTTCAAATGACGTTAATTAGTTTGCCAAATTGCTCTTCCACTAATACAGATGAAATTAAATGTCGCTATTTAACCCAGATATGCCTTCAGCTCAAATAAATTATAATAAAGTATGTTCTCTGCAAATTCATTCTATATGAAGCATATATTAAACACATTTATTATTCTTTAAATTTTATTTTTGGAAAAAGTTTAAAAAAATGCCGTACAAAAGATGGTACACTAGGTACATAGGCAAACATTAAGGTTTAGTATGGAAGGAAAAAAAACATTTTACATTCATCCCTACTTTGCACTTAGAGCACCTTATTTTTGCTCTATCATGACATAAGCCACATCTAGTTGGCTTTTCTTGTGGTATCACAAAATGATCTAAACGATCATAACGAATATCTATATATTCATTAGGACGTCCTCTAGAAAAAGATGGCGGTTTCTTGTTTTGTTGTAACAAGGCTGTGGCAAGCCGCCGTCTAAATAATAATTGATCCATATGTCCTCCTTGCGATCTATAAAGTAACCAGGAATTATGAACAGCTATATCAATACAGTAGCTGATCAATGAAAAATACCACTTTTTACCCCGGATGGAAATGCGATGCAGACCAATATTTTGATCACGCCGCCCATATTTGCGTTGCATACATTTGCAAGATGGGGCTGTTCTCCCTAAAATCAAAAGCATTGATTTTCTTGCAGATTGTGTTTCTTACCTGAATACTTTTTTTATCCTTTTGAGAGTATCGCTTTACAAAGCGAATTGGTTGCAATCCTGCGGCATTCGAACAGAGTGTTACTAAATTATTGTCATGCCATTTTACTGCAATTATGTTTGTATCGGAAATTGTTGTAATCGTAACTACCTCTTGTTTCCCTTTTCATAATTTTAGAATCTCTGAACGCCTTGTCAAGGATTTTCTCTAGCAGTACCAGTCGCAAATTTTTTTTTGTCAATTTTACCATAAGAGGGAGAGAAGTGAAAAAATTGTCGAAAACTAAATGAAATTTTTCATTTGGCCATTTTCTCCTCAATGCATCAGGATAATCTAATACCACACCAGCACCAACCCCCAAATCTGCATAAGTCTTACTAATGTGGGTTGACGACCCATGGTAAGGTTCAACCCAGTAAACGTAGCCTAGTCTTGATGCGCCAACCCATAATTTATAGCCGTATCGTATCGGTTTTCCGTGAATGAACTGTTTGCATGAGTGTCTCCCAAAATAAGAAACCATTGTCTCGTCTACACTATGCATTTCTGTCAAAATTCCATGTTCCATAATTTTTTTATTCAGGCTCGCAACTTATCTTCTTGCTGTAAATTGTAGTTATCTACTAAATGGAAATTTGACATAATATACTCAAATTTATCTCGTGTTAGCGCTTCTGTGACGAGTTGATTATTAGCATCTCTTTCACGTTCCCAGAACATTCTTCTACGTGGTACATCGACATACCCACTCAATATTAGTGTATCCAATAAATGCCCTTATTTCATACTCTTGCACTTCTTGTTGGCGATTCATTTGCCTGGCAGATGTATTTGTTTCAGTTGTTATGCGTGTTATAAGTTCGCCGTAAAAAAAAAGTGAAAACCATTCAAGTGGAGTCTTAGAACAATCATTGTGTTTCCTGGAACTTCTTGTGGTAGATCCTCCTTCACCGATTTGTACGTTTTTCGTTTCTTTAGCTTTTTATTTTTTATTTTTTTAGTCAATTCAGACAATGGAATATTATCTTCGGAATCAGATGAAAATATGCTAAATTTTTCATCAGGTATGTTTATCTCAGCAGGTGCTTGTAATTGTGAACCCGGTAGATTATCAGCTGACATTACATTCTCATCGCCGGAGTCCTCGTCTGTGAGAATGTCACAAACATCGATTGGAGGCATCAATGTGATATTATCCACATTTGCTACTACATATACATTATCCTCCAGCATAACAAGGGCTTCCTCCAGAGAAAAGCCCCTAAAAATGAAACAGGCATGTATTTTCCTGGCTTACAATATTTTGCACACTCAAATATAATGACGCAATTGTGAATCCGAAATAATAACATAAGTAGCTTGGCATTACCTATAACTGGAAAAAAACATGTGTGTTTTACTGGTAGAAGCAATCAAAACATTTTACGTAAATACCATATATTTAAATACTTGGCAAATCGTATTCCATATTCAGCCATGTCACAAAAAATAAAAACTTCTTCACAAAATCTCAAAAAAATCTCAATACAACGATAACACCCAACCGCACGTTACGATTTACTAAGGCTTACTGAATACCTCTGTGCTATTACCGCGTCAAAATAAGCACAGATCGTTGCAAGTCGCGACTTGTTTACGGTGCACCATAAATTGTACGCTAGGCATATCTGGGTTAAAAAGCCACTTTCGAGAGCAGTTTGCAGCACTTTGTCTTTTTGCCTAACCAAATTCAAAAAAACCATTCATTTCATCGACCTTAAGGATTTACTCCAAGAAGAACCTATTTTGATATTCATAGACAGTAAGACAGACAATTTATTTTGTTGAAAACTGCATACGTTGACTCTGTAGCAAAACTCGCAGAATCTAGTTAACGTCAGCTTTTTACGTTACTATTAATATCATGATAGATGTATTTTTACATTTGGGTAAAAACATACTGTTTACAATTTATCCATTGCTTGTTCACATGATCACACGCATGTAATACATGTTTGCACGCAATTTATACTTAAAAATACATTTTGACTGATACCACTCTGATTTGGGTTAATTTAGATGTTAGTATTAGCAGACTAAACATATACAGTGATTTTCAAAAAAGTACGCCACTTATTAATTTTTGAACGGGTCAAGCTGGCGTGCAAAATATTGAACTTAATTGCTTGATGCTATAGCAAAATTGATATTTTCAATTTATTCCCACGCCTGCTCGCGAGTATGCCGAAAAAGTTGAAAAATGAGGTTCTATGTTTCTGGATGTTAATGACACGTACATCACGAAAAACCATGTCACTTGTTACTGGTTATTACCGACCTGTTGGCGCGAACGGCCCAACCATTTTAAAAAAAATGTTGGGATGAAAAATCGGGAGTTTCACAGGAGGTGGGGGAGGGCATAGTTTTACACATCAATTGGTACATATTTCACATAACAAAGATTTCCCTATAAATTTGCCCTTAAAATTTGGAGGAACATTTTCGGATGGTTACATAATGTTCGGCTCAGACATACTAAAATCTCTGTATTTGGCTTTGGTTCAATCTCATCTCACTTATGGTATTCTCGCATGGGTTGGTCTTACAAGTACATACATATATACCTCAAAAAATTAGATGAAATGTAGAAGTGGAAATGTAAAAATGTCCTTGGCAAACTACGTAGGAATCCATCAGATGAGCTTTACAAAGATCATGATATTAGACAATTATTTTTCTAACAGCTTGCCGTATTTCAGCACTTACATAAAGGTAATAGCGAAGACATTAAGCCTTGTCATAGTACAAGACAACAATTCCCAAAAATTGCAAAACAGTTGGCCTAAGGAGTCACAGGTGTTTATGTCCCAAAGCTTTCCGGAGCATATAGGAGTATCGATCAAAATTTTCTGTTCAGGAAAAAACTAAAGTTATGGATCTCAAATACTTCTAGACATTTATAATATCTGTGATGATTTTATATATAGGTCTTATAAATTTATTGAAACTGTTACTGTGATGTCTGTATACTCTGTTTTTCTTTACATTTTCTCTCTCTCTTTTCATCGATACCGAATTTTAATACTATTACACGTATTGCATGCAGATGCCAGTTTTTATCATAATATTTACATTAACTGATTGTGAAAGATTTTACTAAATTTACATGGTCGTTTTTATCATTGTATTTTCAACTTATCGATTATGGATTATCTTACAGATTTTATGACCAATATTATGAACCGATTTTTGTCGAATTGTTTTGTGAAGTAATGTGTGAACTATTTTATAGTTGTATACTTACGTTACTGTTATTTTACTAAAAATAGTGAGGAACTGGAAATTAAAAAAAGTATATTTGTATTTCAACCATAGCTGATTAAGTTTTTTGTGAATCATTCAAGCCCACGCACAAGCTTGCTTCTGTGGGTTTTCTGTTTGTTAACCATTCT